GCTCGCCGGAAAGAGGGCCTGCTTGTGGTGTCGTTCACGTCTGGTTCGCTGGGGTGCTCGAGGCGGCCGCTGGTTGGAGAGCTCGCCGGAAAACGGAAGGCAGAGGGGCTGCTCGAGGGCTCGCCGGAAAAAGCTGAGTGGCGAGGATGATGATGGCGGTGAAGGATGGTGATGAGAAAAAAAAAATGATGAGGAACGATGATGACAAGAGGAGAGATTTGAGATATGAGATTGGATCGTTGAAATCACATTTAAGAAGAAGAAAAAACGTGTGTTTGCCGCAACCCACGGATCAAGATCTTGTTCAAATTGTTCATGTGAGGGAGATAGATACATGTGTGTATCTATAGGTAATAATGTAAAATTTGGTTTGACTTTTCTCACATGTAGCCAAATGCACACACATCACACGACAATGGGAAACCGGGTCTTGGACTGGTTAAAGTCGGGCCGGTTTGGTTCACGCGGGTATACTCGGGCTCAATTAATCGCACGATAATAAAATAAAAACCCATAAATATTTATTTAATACATACATTAAAATAAAAATATTAATAATAATAATCTCAATTAATTCGTAAACAACGGGAATACGAAATGCTAATGTCGATTTCTGGTTATCGGCTAAATTTCGCAACTCCGAATAATCATAATGCTTAGAAAAAAAATATGACGACTCGTAAATCATTAAATTCATGGAACCGGCATAATATATATTTATTAGCGCACACTAATAAATACATCATCAAATAATTATTTCACTCTTGTAGTAAAAAAAATATGATAATCCTAACATATCCGAAAATCCATTATTTATTTATCTATAACAATAACAATTAAGAAAATTACGAGCACAGATAAAATAAATAATTATATTCGGCCAAACAAAAATAAATAAATGAATAAAAATAATTAATAATTTTCAAAATATTCCGACACAAATGAGGCGCTACAGGTCATCCAAAGGTGAACGTATGATTTTGGTAGTGAACTTGGTACCAATTAATGGGTTACACTTAAAGTACAAATAAAAACGATATTCCCAAAGGAAAATGTTGTTTTTATTGTGCGCTGGCCAAAAGATGAAACGGCTATTAATTAAGTACTGATTTGTCAGTATGTTAATTAATGGGATCACTCCCTCCTCTTGCGATGGTTTGAACCGTAGACATCCACACTCCATGGCCTGCGGGGATTCGGTGTATAGAGGTGCCGTTGAATTTATTTGAATATTGTTGTTTAAGGATCAATATTTGATGTTAAATTCTAAATCACTTGACTGAGTAAAAACTATGTTTACGTGGTCGCAGGAATTCAAAATGTCTTTTAATCCGTTGTCCGTAATTCTAAAAGAAAACAAACTTGTTGGTCCCAATTACATTGACTGGAAAAGGAACTTGGATATAGTGTTAACTGCTGAAGGGTACAAATTTGCTACTGTTGAGGCTTGTCCGGATGTGCCTGCTGATAATGTGCCAGATAATGAGAAAGAGGCGTATGCTCGGTGGAAAAAGGCTGACGAGATGGCGAAGTGTTACATCTTGGCATCTTTGTCAAATGTACTTCAACATCAACATCAATCAACTGACACTGCAGCAGAGATGCTCCTTAATCTCAAGGAACTATTTGGTCATCAGTCGCGGGCTGCCCGACAAGAAGCCATAAGGGTTTTGATGAATGCGTGAGGGCACTCCCGTGAGGGAACATGTTCTTGCAATGATGGCCCAGCTTAATGAGCTGGAGGTCCTTGGGGCTTTTATTGACGGGGAAACCCAGGTCGATATAGTGCTCCAGTCTTTGCCTAAGAGCCTCGAACAATTCCGGTTGATTATAACATGCATAAGATGTTGATGACTCTTCTGGAACTTGATGTTGAGCTTCAGTCGGCAGAGGGCCTGTTTAGTCATAAAGCCCAGACGATGGTTGCCCAGCGGGGTGAAGGTTCTTCTTCCAGGCCTTCTAAGGGTAGGAAGAGAAAGAAGTCCGCAGGAAAGGGCAAAGAGGTCATGAATGATGCACGACCTCAGCAAGCAGCGAAGAAGCCAAAAGGCAAGTGCCATAAATGCCAGCAGAAGGGACACTGGAAGGCCGACTGCCCTTTCCTCAAGAAGGGCGATAAAGGTTCATCTTTTTTTATTAGTCGTTGAAACATGTTTAGCGGTGTTATCTACCAGTACCTGGTGTGTAGATACAGGAGCCACTGATCATGTCTGCAATCCTATGCAGGGGTTCCAGGAAACAAAACGGCTTAGGGAAGGAGAAGTTACCATCTACTTGGGCGATGCTAGTAGAGCATCAACAGTTGCAGTGGGAGACGTCTATTTAGATTTTGGTTTAGATAGGACTTTGGTTTTGAAAGATTGTCTTTATGTTCCTAGTTTTAGAAAGAATTTGATTTCAGTTTCTAAGTTGTTTATAAATGGTTTTTCTGCTTCTTTTGATAATAAAGTTGTTATTCGTTTTGGCAAAAAGTTCGTATGTTCTGGTTCATTGGTAGACAATTTGTACATCTTAGAACCAAAGTCATCTCCAATGCAACATAAACAATTACTTAATTCATCATCTAACCTGAATAAGAGAAAGGAACCTTCGAAAATGAATGAAACATATCTTTGGCATCTAAGACTTGGTCATATAAACCTTAGAAGGATTCAAAGGTTGGTAGCAGACGGGCCCTTGGGGTCATTAGAAGTAGAGGCTTTTCCAACTTGTGAATCTTGCCTGGAAGGCAAAATGACTAAGAGGGTTTTTCAATCAAAGGGGAATAGAGACGAAGATCTGTTAAGGCTAATTCATTCAGATCTATGTGGTCCTATGTCTATTCAAGCGAGAGGAGGTTTCGAGTACTTCGTTACATTTATCGATGACTACTCCAGATATGGGTACATTTTCCTATTGCACCGCAAGTCTGAATGCTTTGAGATATTCTTAGAGTATAAGGCGGTTGTGGAGAAGCAGTTCAGAAAAAGTATCAAGTCATTACGATCTGATCGTGGTGCGAATATCTCTCGAATGAATTTAGAGATTATTTGACGGATAAGGGGTTTACTTCCCAACTGACTACGCCAGGCATACCCCAGCAGAATGGCGTGGCAGAGCGAAGGAATAGAACTCTTATGAAAATGGTTAGGGCAATAGTTATAGTACATTACCCGATTCGTTTTGGGGATATGCCCTAGAAACAACAGTTTACATTCTGAACAGAGTACCTTCTAAATCAGTACCATCTACACCATTGGAGTTTTGGTTTGGGTGCAAGCCCAGTCTAAGACATCTCAGGATTTGGGGTAGTCCAGCATATGTGCTGAGAACCGATACTGATAAGTTGGAACCTAGAACAGAAGTAAGGCTGTTTGTGGAATATCCTAAGGAAATGAAAGGTGGTCTATTCTATAGTCCCGAGGACCAGAAAGTAATTGTTTGCACGAATGCGAGGTTCTTGGAAGAAGACTGTTTTAGATCACAAGCCCAGTAGTAGACATGTCCTAGAGGAGGTAAAGGCAGTGAGTACTTCAATACCGAGTGTAGCGCCCCGTTCGATTTATAGAATTTCTCGGAATATTCTATTTATCGAATATTATTTATAAGGTTATATTTAATTTATTAGTCGCGGTGTCGACTTAAATAAAAAGTTGGACTACTCGATTGTTTTATTGAAAAGCATTCGTCGTTCGGCGATTTCGGTTTAATCGCGTGAACCGATTATAACCCGTTTATTTATGGATAATTTTGGATTTATTTATTATTATTATTATTGTCTGTTATTATTATTGAATGTCTAAATATTATTATTTGTCTAATTGTAATTAATTGTCTAAATGTGTAATTGTATTATTATTATTATTATTATTATTATTATTATTATTATTATTATTATTATTATTATTATTATTATTTTTATTATTATTATTATTATTTTTTTTAAATAATGTGTGTAATAAAATATATATTATCCGCTGTTAATTTAAATATCGTGCGATCGAACCGAGCTGCTAATATAAGTAGTGAGAGAACCGAGATGTTATTTTTGACTAAGGGGAGCCTAAGTCGTGGCCTTCGGCCCGAACCCGGCAAAAACCCATGTGCGCGACCCAAGAACCGGACCGCCCGACTCGGTTTTCCTCTTGAGCGTGTGATTTTATTTCTCTTGCTCGACAGGACAATAACCCTAGCCTCTTATATCTTGCAGCTCGATCAGTCAGAAGAGTTGAGAAACCCGCAGCTTCAAAAAAATATACTCTCACCTTACGACTTTTCTCTCTCGCTCGGAAAGGAGGAAGTCATCTTCTCACGAGAAAATCCCTCAACCCGATCGTCGTCCCTCTGTGATTTCTCCTTCCCGTCACCATCTAATCGCCATCATCACAGCCTCATCTCCATAATCGATCACTGCTCCCTTCATCTCACCCTCGCTGCAATTCGATCGCCACCATTACTAACCTCTCGCCGGAAAACATCATCAACCACCGTCACTTACCTCCTCTCGTCGAGAACCAGCCCTTCCTGACCCCTCGCAGCACCGCCGCGATCCCTTTCCTGCCGGCGTTCAGACCCCCCCTCCCCCCCTTCCCCCGTGTCGCGAGGTCAGCAGCACCGCGAGCTCCTCCGCAGCAGCAGGCGAATCCGGCGACCTTCCGTGCACGAGCAGGCCACCAGCAGCGACGACAAGCACCCCTTTTGATGACCACGTGCAGCAGCTCCTCACGACGACTGCTCCTCTGCGTTGCAGCACCTCAGCAGCGGACATCGACGCCGCACAGCACCTCGGCTTTCAACGAATCGAGTCACCGTCCTTCCCCTCGTGAGCCGTGTGTTGCCGTTCGAGCCCATCAACCCTCCGTTCTATTTTTCGAATGTTTCTCGAGAACGGTGTCGACGGCTTGAACCTTACGCTTCATATATATAGATTGTGATTTCATGTTTAAGTGTCGATTGAATGTGTTCTATGATTATGTAAATGCTTATGATTTTATGTGTTTATAATTGGTTCAATATGTTGAATGTGTGTAGACGAGCTCTTCGATTTTGAGAAATCAAACGAGTTCTTGGTCTTATGGCAAAGGCCTTGGAAGAATATGCGAGTATTGAGTCGTTTATGATTTTTTGAACCTAACTAGCTGCAGAATATTTGTTAAATTCATAATAAATTGCATAATGATCCAATCAATGTGAAATTTTGAGAATAAATGCCTCTGTTGCTTATGAATGTTGTGCAAAAAATTCATAATTTTATGAGGTCTGTAGCTATTTTAATAAATTAGAATGATTTTTGGTCAATTTCATGTTAATTGCATAATAAATTGTGTAGTGATCGAAATTGGCTGAAATTCGATTATGTTGTGTCGCTAGAATGTGTGATTTTGTGTTAAATTTTCATAATTTTTGGACTCCGTTAGCTTAGGCAAATAAATTATTTTGTGTTTCTGCAAGAAATTGTTTTAATTTTGAAACATTGATCTAATGCTGAAAAAAATATGATTTTTGGTTAAAGTGCCTGTTTTGTGGTGTATTTCATTCTGTTAAAAAATTGGAATTTTGAGAGTTCATTTAGGTTCAGTTCTGTTGAAAATTTGAAAACTGCTTACTGTTGTAACAATTTTAATAAATCGTATGTTTGGAGTATAGAGCTGATATTTTTACACAATGCTATTCACATGCTAAGGTTCCTTAGATTAAAATTTCAGAGTATGAATCGTTCATTTGGTCTGGTTGTTAATTTATGCTCGTTTTTGCCATAAATTTTCTCGAATTTTATAAAATAGCATACTTTGAGTTTGGGGCTGAAACTTGGTGGTTTTTCTAATTACTGGGAGGTCAATTTTTGGTTAAAATCTCAGAGTCTAACTCATTTGGTAACCTGACCAACTAGATTTTGTGATTATTGGCTAATATTTTCGAAAATATAATTTTTGTGTTAAAACTGTAAACCAACTCGCATGATAATCTTTGTCTGTATGACTTGGTAAATCTTTGATTGGGATTATGTGAAATTTCATGCGTGTTTGGTTGAGTCTTAGAGCTGAGTCTAAGTGTTCCAATGTCCACAAGACTTCACGAACAACTTAGTTGTAACGCCCCGTTCGATTTATAGAATTTCTCAGAAAATTCTATTTATCGAATACTATTTATGAGGTTATATTTGTTTTATTAGTCGCGATGTCGACTTAAATGTAAGGTTGGAATACTCGACCGTTTTATTTTTAAAACGTTCGTCGTTCGGCGATTTCGGGTTAATCGCGTAATTCGAATCTAAGCCGTTCGTTTATTAGGAATTCGGGATTTTAATATTATTAGTTATTTGCTTATATTGAATATTTTTTTTTATTTTATTTATTTACCTGTTATAATATTAACTGCTTGTCTTATTTGTTCTGCTTGATATAAATTGTTATGTGGCTAATATATGTGATTGTTATATGTTTATATATATTTTATATATGTATTAGAATTATTAGGATTTATTTGATTAGAAGATTAAATGGTTCGGCGATTTTCGGCTTAATCGCGTATGCTGTTTTATTTCCGTTTCAGCCCATGTTCGAGATTTGTATCCGGACATTAGAATTTATATTCGTCTTATATTTTTCGGTCCATTTGAGCATATAAACCGACCCCTTTGATTGTTAATTTTGTCCGTTTGGAAGTAAATTAAACCAGCCCGCGTGTTTAATTTCCAGCCCAATTTGTGATATGATATTTCAGCCCAAACTAAGTCCAAATTAGCCCATTTTGTTAGCCCAAGGAAACTATTCTACAGCCCTAATTTCTCCCTCTTTAATCTCACGATCAGATTGCCGCAACACAAATTCCTTTCCCTCTGTTCACTTCATCATCGTGTCCAAACTCCACTCCTTCGATCCCTCAATTTCTTCTCACAAAAATTCACCACATCGCCTGCCTTAATCGCCGGCGACCCGTAGTGAACCGCCCGTCGCGGACCCCTCTTCTTGTCTGCGTATCGGGAGCGACCAACCATAGCCGCGAGTTGTCCATCGAGCGGCCCTCTGCGAGCCCTCCTCGTCGCCAATTCCAGCCACCGTGGAGACGCGACCAGCCGCCGTTGCGCGTCTCTGTTTTCGCGAGCCCGCCATTCACGGCGAGTCGAGCACCACCAACTCGACGACGACCAGAACCAGCACCGATCGTGAAGCCTCCCACGCGGCTGACGAGAAGGCCGTGCTGTGGCCCACCAGGTTACGACGCATTTTCGATGCGACTGGCGAGATCCCGACGAGGAGAGTTCCGTTCACCTCCATGTCCGGTGACTCGTTTGGGCTCTATTCACTTCCGGCGACCACCGCGTGCGAGCACCCACACTCGATTTTCGTCGGGGCGTTGATGCTCACGAGCCCCAGCCATCGTTTGGCGAGTTCGAGCTCTCGATGGCATTCTTGTTCAGCCCGTCCTTCGGCAACTTGGGAACCTCCGATTTTCCCAGCCACGTCCTTGACCTGCTACTGAGCCACCGCGAGCCTCAGTCGAGCCTCGTCAAGGAAAGCCGCGACCTGTCATCAACCTCCGACGACGAGAACTCGCCGGAAACCGCTGCAGCACCCTCCGGCCACCGCTACAATGCCTCGTCGGTTCCGAGCAGTGACCGAACCTTCGACTTGACTTTTGAAGGAGGTAAAAAGGCTGACCTTAGATCATATATTTCGTGATTCCTTTGCCTTGCTATATAGTGTGTTTATAAAGGATGCTGAATGTGGCTATCTTTGGTGCCTGAATCATGTTGTTGTTATGTTGATTTTTATTTACATGCATATTGATTTGTGGCTATAAGTGGAGTTGGGACTCTCGTAGGATTACCTGTTTGGTAGCTGTGAGATAGCTTTGAGAAATTTCAGAAAGTTGCAACCCTTTAGTTTAGCCTCTGTTGGAGAATTTTGATGCTTTCAGATTGAATTGTTTTGATTAGGAAAAATCTGATTTGGTTGCCTTGAGCATGTTTATAAATTATGATTTGTTTTGCTTGAAATAATTCATTTCACCGTGGTGTATTGAGCTTCATGAATTTATTTTATCTAGCTGTGTGTTGAGAAACTTGTCCATGAAGAGAGAATGAAATTATGTTTATGTTTCTTTTTGGCCGGGTTGTGTTGATATATGTAACGCCCCACTTTTATTTGTCGAAAAACAGAATAAATTTTTCAAATTTATTTCAATATACTTGAGGCGCTACTCATTTTTCAAAACAAATTTCAATACTTATCCAATTTTCTCAATACTCAATTAATCATCAATATCAATCACAATCATCAATAATGCAATAATCAATAATGCAATATTCAATATTACCCAAACCGGGTTCCAAACAGTATTGATAAGTCCTAAGGAACATCTCCTTATCATTTTCCAATCATAAAATCCGAAAATTCATAAAAAAAAAATAGTATTCCAAATTCATAAATGCGAAAGCATAAACAATAATAGGGCCAGTCTTATAGATCGACCACCACTCGCTTGACTCCGCCTTCGCACCTGTCTTGCTTAACCTGAAACGTGAATTTCAGGTGGGGATGAGCACAAGAGGAAAAAGTAGTGTTCACCACTATGCAGTAAACATTATTCACAATAATAAAACAGTGATCAATAATCAATAAGGTATGGTCGCAGCATGTATACAAAACAATCAATCATCCAAATTTCTCATCAATCATATCAATAATAGACTCATGTGCACACATATAGCAATAGACTACTGCCGAACTATATACCGAACGCCTTATCTAAGGCCTTACAACGAGTGTTCGGCCAGTAGGAGTATCCCGTCGGCCAAGGCCTCACCTTGGTCTTACCAACGGGGTTGTCCAGCACAGGGACCTTTAACCCAGGTCTTACGGCTCAAAATGTGTCAAGCACAGGGACCTTTAACCCAGGTCTTACGGCTCAAAATGTGTCCAGCACCGGGACCTTTAACCCAGGTCTTACGGCTCAAAATGTGTCCAGCACAGGGACCTTGTCTTACGGCTCACAATAATAAGGAGACTACCCAACGGGTACGTTCTATAGCTACTGGGATAACCATTCGACGGCAGGTACAGCTCACATCGAAGGCTACATGATTCACATGAGCATAGACGATTTTAAATAAAACCCACCTGGATAGTCGAAACAGACGACAAACACAATATTCAGACGAGGGTAGGCAGAGGGATCGACTCCTCAAATACCTACAATTTTATTATTACATCTTATTACTATGGTTTTGACTGAAAATGCAGAACAACACATTAAAACATGTAAGACACATTTCAGATAAGAGCACATAATTCAGACCAGTGATTAAAATAGCGCGCCATGGCGTCGCCATGGCGCGAGGCGAGGCGAGGCGAGGCGAGGCTCTGTCGCCTTATACCCTTGAGGCGAGGCGATGTTTAACAAGGCGTCGCCATGGCGTCGCCTCTTATGTAGCGCTACAAAGGCTGAGGCGACGCCTTAAGATTTTGAGGCGAGTTTAGGGCAAAATAGGAAAATCAAATTGCAGCTAGGGTTTAGTCCGTATAAATTTTTCAATTACACATAATCTACTTACCCAAAGTCAAAATTGACCTGTGCCTTTTCTTCGACCCGAGACGGCGACCAGATTCCGGCAGTTAACCGGCGAAGGTGACCAGATTCCGGCAATTAACCGGTGAAGGCGGCGACGAGAGGTATGTTTCCTATTTTCCTTTTTTTTTNAACAGGTTTGTGGCTTTGTGCTTTGATTTAGAGTTGCTTCAATAATAAAAAATGACATATTGTGCTTTAACCAAACACGTGCCATTGACAATAATTAGTAGAGGTGGTGGGGTCCTAATAATTTATTTTTTTTGTTTTAACTTATTCTTTAATTTATTTTGTTGTTAAATAATTGGTGCTTATGTTTTCCAATTTAATTTATTTGTAGATATGGAGGAGAACAATAATAAAAAAGACATTGCTTGGAAGTATTCGAAGAGGGATCCCACAAATATACATGCATTTACTTGCAATTTTTGTGGGATCACGTACAAAGGCGGAGTCTCGAGAATGAAGCAACATTGGGTTGGAGGCTTTGCAAATGTCTTACGATGTTCAAAATGCCCGGCGGAAGTTCGTGTAGAAGTAAAAGAATACATGGAAATGAAAAAGAAACAAACGGAGCATAGAAGATGTGTAGTAGACATTGATGAAACGGTTGATTTGGATGATTATGATGTCGAGGAAGAAGAAATTGATCCCATGAAGGCTCCAACTCCAAGGAATCTATCCTCCTCCGCATCCACTCAAGGTTACAACATGAAGAAAGCTCAATTTCAATTCAAGAGGTCAAAAGCAAAAGGGGCTAATGATTGCTATTTTACACCCGATGTCGAAGTTGCCGTGGAAAATCGAAAGAGCAAAGGAAAGCAACCAAGAATAGATGAGAATTCGCCCTATCGAGAAGAGTTGAGGAAGAGAGCTTATGAAAAGATTGCAAGGTTCCTATATGAAGCCGCGGTCCCTCTTAATGTGGTCAATTGTCCGGCTTTTGGGCCTATGATTGAGGCCGTTGGAAATTATGGTTCCGGGTTGCCGCCGCCGACGTACTATCAAGTAAGAGGCCCGTTGCTTAAGAATGAGAAAGAGCACGTGATGAAGATGATGAAAGAGCACGAGCTATCTAGAGCACAATACGGGTGCACATTGATGTGTGATGGGTGGACCGAGGGTCTCCAAGTCCATCCAAAGGTTGGTTCCAAGTATTGCAACACAAGATCAAATTTGTGATGACTTGGACAAATATCGGAATGCCGAGGGTCTCTTTGGTTTGCCTATGGCGGTTAGGCAAAGAGCTACAAGGACACCGGCAAATTGGTGGGCGGCGTATGGCTCTGATACACCCGATTTGCAAAAATTTGCTATCAAGGTGTTGAGCCTCACTTGTAGCTCGTCCGGATGTGAGAGGAATTGGAGTGTTTTTGAGCACGTAAGTTTTTTATTCACTCTAATTTTTTATATTGTTATTCTTTATTTATTACTATTAATTTATAACAATGTGGAAATTATTATGTTGATAGATTCATTCGAAGAAAAGAAACAAATTGGATCATGATCGACTTAATGACTTGGTGTTTATCAAGTACAATAGGGCATTGCAACGCCGGTACTTGATGCGGGGAAAAATTGATCCTATTGCCTTGAAAGACATTGATGAAAGCAATGAATGGTTGGTGGGTGCTAGAGAGGAAGAATATGTGTTTCAAAATGAGGATTTAACTTGGGATGACGTTGCTACGGCCGCCGGGGTTGAGGAGCCGAGAAATAGAACTAGATCAACTGGAAAGAAGTCGGCTTCTAACGCATCATCTTCATCATTTAGGCTTGTAGATGAAGATTGTGAATGGAATGATGATGTTATCAACGATGATGCGGAAGAAGAGGATGTGGATGGATATAAGTCGAATGATGATGTAGCCGCGGTCGAAGAACTTTCCCTCGACTAGTATTTTTTGTGGAAGTAAAACTAATTTTAGTTGTTTCTTTTGGTGTTGCTTTTGTTGGAAGTTGGAATTTGGAACTATGAATATTGTCGTTTATTTGCTTTATATTGGTCATGTTGGATATGGATGCTACTTGTTAGTTTTTTATACTTTATTTATTGTTGTTTTCATTTAATGTGTGGTGTTTTATTGCATATTTATTAGCTATTATAATTTATATCTACATAAATAATTGTGTCATAATTTGGTAAAATGTCTCATATACAACTATACATATATTTATATTTTTTTTTTTTGTAATGGCTCGCCTCGCTTTCATATGGCGGGCGCCTCGCCGCACGCCTCACGCCATGGCAAATTGGAGCCTTGTCGCCTCGGCTCGCCGCGCGCTATTTTAATCACTGATTCAGACAAGATTTGCAGATAAAATATCAAATAAAACTTTCAAATTTTTTTTTTTTTTTTCACATTTTCTCAATTAGGACCAAACTTAGATCATGTTGTAACAATAATTTGAACTCACAAATAAACGCATATAGCAGAAATTAAATCTCATAAAATCACATCATATAGGAAATAAAAATAAATAAATAAACACACAGAATACATAAAGTTTAGCCTTCTTATATTTTCTACCTTTCCTCAATATTTAACCAACGCATATAAAGCTTTAAAACTGATAGTAAGGCCTCGAAAATACACACTTCAACATGCTTCTCAATTCACTAAGCAACTAACCAAGCGGCACTTTAATATTTAAAACATGTAGCACCTGAACAAGACTTCTAAATTTTCTCAAACACTAAACCACTCATGCCAGGCTTTAAAAATTGATATGAAATGTATATAATACTTCACTGTAAGCATGGTAAACTTACATATAACAGAGATTCAGTGACATAACAAACTGAGGCCACATAACACACCAAAAATCCTTCAAAACATTCTCATTTTCTCATTTCTTGTCTCTCTTAAACTCAAAAGGCCTTAAAAATTAAACCAACAAAAATCTGAATTTAAAACAAGTTCACAGCTTACATTAAGCGTAACACGAAGCATAAAAAATTAATGCAACAAGCAGGTCAAAAGGCAAAGCATCACAGCCTTCTTCTTCTCTAATTTTTTTTTAGCTAACACTTAAGCATGAAATTCTAACCTTTGGAACTGAAACTCAACTCATCTATCAGTTTAGATTAGCACATAATTCAGCTAGAAAACAATTAAAACATCAACCAGCATATAATAACATCACAGAAGCACATACATATGACGACAATATCCAAAATCATCAATTTCAATACACACACACACACACATATATATATATATATATATATTGCCAAATTCCAATATAAGAATCATCACATAGAACACCACAAGAACCAGTTCGCAAGAATAAATTAAGGGAAAATGGGGTTCACCTCCTTTTCGAGCTACCCGCACAAGAAAGCGGATGATCGAACGAGAGGACCGAAGACACGACGAGCATCAGTCGGCGGCTGCGCGTTCGAAACACCGGCTAAGGGTTCAAGTGGACGGTGGGCTCGCGAGCAGGTTGTTGCGGGGAGGAACCAGCTGCAATTCTCAGCAACGGCGAACCCCGAGGCGGCTCACGTGGTGGCTGAACGGACACGTGGACTCGTCTCAGCTCGCGGCTGCTGTCCGAGGTAGCTCGAACGACAGCGGCTGAACGGAAGGTCGCTGGTGGAAGAGGGGTCGTCGAGCGGTGCAGGTGCAGAGGTCGCGGCCCGTCGATGGTCGTATCCGCCAGAAAATCGGGTGGCCCTTGGTCGCCATCTTTACCTGCCTCTGCCGCAAGGTCGCTGTCAGTGGCTTCTTCAATCGAAGAACGGAACTCGCCTCGCCGGGATCTCGCCAATCGCACCAAAAATTCGCCGGAACTTGGTGGTGAACAGGCCGGCCCTCGTCGCCCGAAATCGCTGCTCAGCATCACCGGGGATCTCTCAGCCACGTACAATTGAGCCGTCGATTGATTCCAGCCGCGAACATAACTCGTCTCGCCGGAGGAACTGTTCGCGGTGACGGACGGGGGTGCAGGGACGCCGACGATGAGGGCTCTCCTCGACGGTGGTGCGAGGATGGCCGGCGATGGTGGCTGATGGGTTCGATTTGCAAGCGAGATGAAGAGGGGTGTCGGGGAGGGGTTTTTCTCGCTGAATGAAAAGAGCAGGATTCTATCTCTCTCGTCTGCACTGCGGTGATGAGTTAGAAGGATTTAACAGGGTAAGAATTAGGGCTACTAAAATGGGTTTATTTGGGCTAAACCAAATGGGTTCAGTGGGCCTAGTATTTGGGCCGAAAATTTCACAACCAATCGAACCGGTTTATAAGCTCAATGGACCGAAAATTTAAGACAGATATAAATTCTAATGTCCGGATTCAAAATCTAGAAAATAGGCCCAAACGGAAATAAAAAAAAAAAACGGCTTTACGCGGTTAAGCCGAAAATCGCCGAAACAATTTAAAATTTTCGAAACAAATAAATCATAATAATTCTAATATACATAAATAATATATAATCAACTAATAATCACATATATTAGCCACATAACAATTTTATACCAAGTAGACAAATAAGACGATAAATTAAATAAAATAAGGCAAATATTCAATATTTGCAAATAAATAATAATATAAAAATTCAGAAATTTTAATAAACGAACGGGGCGTTACAATATATATGCTGAACCTTTGGGTGATTATTTCATGCTGAGATTGTATGTCTATGAGCTTTAATTTCATATATTAAGGCCCTATAACTTGTTGGTAAATGCATGGGAAAAAAAAAAGAAGAAAAAGAGGAAATGAGGCACATTTGTTGCATTTTGAGCCATGCGAGTTGAATAAATTATGATCCTTGATTTATGAAATCTGTATGCTGAGCATGTCTTCCTTAAGAACAATTTAATTCGGTTTTCTTTTTAAGCCTTAATTTTATGTGGATGTGAATATGAGAAAAGAAAAGAGTTTAAGGCATGTATATGCGTTGGGGTTATGCCATTGTTTTGCCTTGTTCATGTAGTTTATATATATGAATTATCTGCTGTTTATATGCTTATTTTGGTGCTTAGTTTCAGAGCTATATGCTCAGCCTATTTAGGGGTTGAGTTTGAAAAATTCAGCTTTGAGGCTTTAGTATGTGGGTTAAAATTTGAGAGTCCCAAGTCCACGAAAAACCCAATAAATCCCTTAATCAGAATTTTTTTTTTATTAAGGGTGGGTTTTAAATAATTTCTGAGGAGTGAGATAGATTATTGATATACTATCTCGCGTAAATGTAGGTTCTTGAGGAGTCGAGCCTCACTGACCTACCGAGCCGTTTGTGTGCTATTTTCCCTGTCTTCCAATCAGGTGGGTTTGATTTAAAAATTGTCTATGCTTTAAATGTTATTACTGTTTTAATTATGGTATGATCAAGTATGCATGTGGAACATGTAGCCTTCGATGTGAGCTGTACCGGCCATCGAACGGTTATTCCCGTAGCTATAAAACGTACCCGTTGGGTAGTCTCCTTATTATTGTGAGCCGTAAGACCTGGGTTAAAGGTCCCTGTGCTGGACACTTTTTGAGCCGTAAGACCTGGGTTAAAGGTCCCTGTGCTGGACAACCCCGTTGGTAAGACCAAGGTGAGGCCTTGGCTGAAGGGTTACTCCTACTGGCTGGACACGCGATGTGAGACCGGTGGGCTTTCGATATATAGTCGGCAGTAGTCTATACGTAGGTGTGCACATGAGTCTATTATTGATATGATTGGTGGGAGATTGGGATAGATGATTGTTTCATATACGTGCTACAACCATACCTGACTTATTATTGATTATTGATCACTGTTTTATTATTGTGAATAATGTTTACTGCATAGTGATGAGCACTACGGTTTCCTCTTGTGCTCATCCCCACCTGCTCTTCATGGATGCAGGTTAGTGTTGCGGGCACGACGGAGGGACGCGAGTGGTGGTCTTAATAATTGATATTGCTTCTGCCTAGAACTGAATATTGCTATTACTGCTTTCATTATTATTGATTACTGGATTATTGATGGGGAGTGTAATCCCTAGGATGAGTGGATTATTGAATTGCGAATATGAGTATAGATGATTGTTTAAGTATTGGTGAATGATTGAGTATTGAAAAATTTGGTTAAGTATTGAGAAACCGTTTGAAAATGAGTAACGCCTCAAGTGTTTATTGAATTAAATTTGAAAAATTTATTCTGATTTTTGGAAAATAAAAGTGGGGCGTTACAGTTTGGTATCAGAGCCAGTCTGCGTTTCTGTAAACTGGTATGTGCGAATAATGTGAACTCTATGAAATACTGGCATACTGTGATGTAATATATGACCACTCGCTTCCGTCGTGCCGCGCCAACTCAGGTATGAATACTTGGGTAATAATAAATTGTTTATGTGAAGTATTATGATATTATGAGATGTAAACCGGGGCTTATGAATTTATCCTCCTACTTTTAAACGTTCTGGAACTCTAGATGAGTGACGAACCTTAGTTGTATGAACTTGAACTCTAGCAATATAGAGTTAAGTTCTTACTTGAGGTTTTGTTTGTTTAGAAATTTGATATGGTGTTGTCGAGCTGAGTTCTGTGTATAACAGTGCTCTCAATGTACTTTGGTGTCTTCGGAAGAGGACCATTCGCGAGCCATCTCGTAGGGAGTGTTTGTCCCATTTTTGTTACGTTATTCGTGTCTATTTTCTCTTTCTTTTTCCCCCATTATGAGTCATTTATGTGGTTTTAGAGTCGTTTGTCGTTTATTTCGTGTTTCGCGTCTTTGTGAGTATTTCTGTGTTTTTCGTGTATTTTTCCGGTTTCCTTCGTTTTTGTTTTCGCCCTTGGTGTGCAGGATGGAAGGTTCGGGAGGATATATTTTTCACAATAATGGAACCGGGAGAATTTAGCTGAGTAGAGCGTTTCGTCGACAACACAAAGAATAAAACGGATTCGGATTTCGATATCAAACGAGCGCAAACGAACACAAAACGCGAAGTGTTGCAATCGGACACGAGCTCCCAGACTGCCGCGCTGTGGCACCCGTCACGGGCCTTCAGAAGATGCTGCCTCTCCCACCGCGCCGTGAAGGACATGCCGCGCCACTGCACAGCCACCCACCGCGCCGTGGCGCCCAGCATCTCCACGCCGTGCTGCTGCCGCGACCTGGACAGAGACCGCCCTTCCCAAGATTGCCACGCCGTGAAGACTCCATCGCGCCGCGGAGAAGAAGCTTGCCGCACCGTGTTGGCTGCTCGCACCGCGGAGAAGAAG